GTTCAGATCGTCTGCCAGTTGTTGATTCTCCACAGTGCTGGGGGATGGTGTCTTGTAATTGGTGATTTTCCACACTGTAGCAGGGTCACTGGAGGAGAATTGGTTCCTTAGCTTTCCATAATAATTCCTCTTTGCCACTCTGATCTCCTTTTCCAGTGTGTATTTCGGCCTGTTTATACACGACTCTGTCCCCATTCCTGCAAGCATCTTCTTTGGCCTGACGGAGCTGTCTTTGAGTTTTGCAGTGAACCATGGTTTGTCATTGTTGTAGGTTAAATGAATCCTGGTAGGAATGCACATGTCTTCACAGAAACTGATACATGATGTTACAGTCTCTGTCAGCTCATCCAGATCGGTGGCAGCAGCTTCAAAAACACTCCAATCAGTGAGGTTGAAACAGGCATGTAAATCCCGCCCTGCTTCATTAGTCCATCTTTTAACAGTCCTTAATACAGGTTTAGCTGATTTCAGTTTCTGCCTGTAGGTCGGTATGAGATGAACTAAACAGTGATCAGAGAGCCCCAAAGCTGCTCTGGGGACAGAGTGATATGCAGTCTTTATTGTGGTGTAACAATGGTCCAATATATTGCTGCCTCTGGTGGGACATGCTGTCTGTATTTTGGCAGTTCACAGGAAAGATTTGCTTTATTAAAGTCCCCAAGAATTATTATAACCGAGTCTGGGTGTTGTTGCTCAGTCTCTGTGATCAGATCAGAGAGTTTCTGTAAAGCTGAGCTCACGTGTAGAAACTCACGAGAATGAACGAACAAAACTCCCGCGGCGAATAGAACGGTTTACAGTTAATGAAGTGTGCTTCTAGATCAGGACAGCACATCTTTTTTAACGCTGTTACGTCTGTATACCACCTTTCATTGATGTAAAAGCATGTCCTGCCGCCGCGCGATTTCCCCGTTGATTCTGCGTCGCGCTCCGCTCTGAACAGCTGAAAGCCCGGCAGATATAGCGCGTTGTCCGGAATGGCGTCATTCAGCCAGTTTTCCCTGAAACACAGAGCAGCAGAGTTTGAAAAATCCTTGTTTGTCCGGGAGAGCAGAAGAAGTTTGTTCCTTTTGTAGGGTAGAGAGCAGAGATTCGCCAGATGGATGCTCGGCAGCACCGTTCGAAATCCGCGCTGTCTGAGCTTCACGAGTACGCCGGCTGCCTTTTTTTAAAAGTATACAATAAATACTGTTGAGAAAAATTTGCTGTGATAATACAGGAATTAGAACCTTTCAGAGTGAAAAGCATAATTTAAAAGGCTTGGCTACATGATATTCACATACGAGAGGGAATACACGTAAAGACTGACTCTGTATAAATAAATTAAGCTAAGCTCTTGCTTCTTGTTTATAGTGTCTATTACCAGATAAACATTCAGTAAAAATACTCCTGAAAAGTAGCTACATTTTTGACTGAACACACAAGAAACTGTTCCGTTCCAATTACTGTTGCAGTAGCTCATCAGCAAAGAAGCTACTTGTTAGCATGTATAAAAGCAGTTAACACCGCCTCTTTTTGACTCCAACATTTAAAAACAGTGTACAACACTGCTATTGTCTACCTATAATGCAGCATTATAGCAATTGCACAGAACCAATTAGAAGTCTTGAGTTTGCAGACCAGTATATCCTTATACTCTTTCTTAACTAGCAGTTTTCTTTGTTTCCCATAGGTGTCCTCCTGTATAGCATGTCATCCGCATCACTTGATCCTTCTGACCCAGGCGCGCCACCCGATCCGTCTGACCCAGGCTCATATTCGCGCGATTTTTTGCGCAGCTCGTCAGTGAACAACGGCTCTGTGTAGTTAATGCTGCTCAATGTGAAAGCACGCACGTGATGGAGATTTACCGCTGATTACAGAACCGGCTTTCTGACAAGATGCGCATTAAATATCGCATGCGATTTATCGTGCAGCCCTAATTACAACATAAATAGACAACTGCACAAATAGAACTGCACAACTTCAGCAGAAAATTCTGTCATCATTTATTCACCCTCATGTTGTTCTAAACTCCTATGACTTTCTTTCCTCACTGGGCCACAAAAAGGAAAACATTTGAAGAACATTTCATACTTTACATCCGATAAAAGCAGCAGTAACCAGGAGGCATTCATGCTCCTAAAAACACAAGAAAGCAAACAGAGGTACCTTAGAGTCTGCATGAAAATTCATCCTATCTGTTTTCTAAATGCGTCTTATTGATCTTACTGTAAATGATTGAACTATACAAGCATTTCTATTTTCTTGTTTTTCTTTTTCTTTTTTTTGACCGAAATGTACATCTTTTGACCATTTAATGACCGTGTAGTTGTAATCAGTCATTTAGTCAGTATAAACCCCCGCAATTTACTGCAGTCTTGCATTCAGATCTTGAGTTCAATGCTCATCTCAAATTCCAATGAACTTAATTTCAACCAATCTTAAATTTCAAGTCACACAAATACTATTTACACGTTGACCTCTTTAATGCTACTTTTATGTTTTTAGCTTGACAGCCTTTTATTGTATGGAAAAGAACATTGTGAACAGCCTTCAGAATATATTATTTTGTGTTTCACGGATGAAATAAAAACAAGTTCAGAATGACATGAGGGCCAGTAAAGGAAGACAGAATCTAATATTAGTTTGAACTACTAAAAAGCTTTAAATTTTCTTGTCTAAAAATTCTAGATTCTAAAAAAGATTCTACAACTACTATTACTAAGAGTATTCAGACTCTGGAAGCACAAACAACCATTGCTCTGATCACAACAGCCCTGCTTCTGGAACCACGAACACATAACGACAATACTGGGACTGTCAACATTCAACCCATATTCAATCATGTAAAATATTTACATTCATGTCTTTTTCTTATATATTGTTGATATATACTTATATAGTTCCTGTTGATCATGTTGATTTTCTCTTCTGCAGGATCCCTTTGATCTAAGCAGCAGCAGTAAGGTGAGTACATGAATGACAAAAACATCTATGAATAAAATGTCTATTTTTTGTCCTACAAAGATATCAGTCATTGATCCCCAAAGGTCTCCTTACATCTATTTTTCACTGAGATGACAAGAAATCCTGTATCACCCTTTTTAAAAAAGTGTGTTAAAGACTTATCACAAAAGGAAGCCTGTTTCCGCCAAAAAAAACAAAAACAAATAAAGAAGGTAATTGTGAATATCCTCACAATTCAGACTTTTTTCCTGACAATCCTGAGTTTATATCTTGCAATTCTGACTTTTTTTTTCTCAAAGTGCAAGACAAAGTCATAATTGAGAGATCTAAACTTCCAATTCTGACAAGAATTGCAAGGTCATCTAGCAGTTCTAAGAAGAAACGTAGAAATTGTGAGATGAAAAGTTACAATTACCTTTTTTATTCCGTGAAAAAAAAAAGAATTATGAGTGAATTCAGAATTCACAGAAGAAGAAAAAAAAGAACTTCAAGGTGTAAACTCAGAATTTAGAAAAAAAGTAAATTCTCAGTGTACACCTTTTATCTCACAATTCAGAACAATCTATTAAATGGAGCCAGAAAACATTTCTTGGCCAACAACAGTATGCAAAGTGACCGACTTCACAAAACTTTCTCCTTAAAAATGATCAAAACATGCAACCAAACATGAAGTGCTAGCATTTTAATATTTTGTTTCGCACAGGGGAATGTCATCCGTGAAGCCTGTAAGACGCTGGGTCAGAAGATGAAAGGAAATTGCACCGTGATGGTGGAAATTAATGACAAGCAATTAACTGCAACAATAACAATAGATGGTGAGGGAAATGTTACGGCTTCCAAACAGATGAAAGCCTCATACAGAGGAACCACTGAAATCAGTGCTTGCCATATTGTGTTTGGTTATCTTTAATAACAATAAAATACTGAATAAAATTTATAGTAATTCAATTGCTTTTCCATTTACAGCCGACCAAAAGATACCGCCAGAAAACTACAAACCTCTAGAACCTGTCAGTGGAGTTACAGACAATAATGCTTTACAGAAAGAGGATCTAAACAAGCACACGATACCAGACACGTTGATCGCCATCTTGGCTTCTTGTGGTGCTTTGGTGCTCATTCTGTGCTGCTTTGCTGCGTACTGCACTTATCATCGCAGATCCTACAGGAAGAACCAGGTAATGCTCAATTTCCAAACACAAAGATGAATCAGACTCACATTGCTTGATTCGGGTATTATTTTCAATAAATTTATCTACGAATGATGAATGTTCTGAATGATTCAAGTCAAAGTTGAAAGTTGCGTTCTGAATTCCAAAGCGTTACGCGGTTTAACATCCCAATATGTACTCTCCCCTTGGCAGCAACACCTGACAGAAGAGCTGCAGACAGTGGAGAATGGTTATCATGACAATCCCACACTGGAGGTGATGGAGGTACAGCCGGAGATGCAAGAGAAAAAACTGACAATGAACAGGGAGTTTAACGACAGCTGGATCGTCCCCATAGACAACCTGCTGAAAGAGGACATACCTGATGAAGAAGACACACACTTGTAATGGCATCAGATGAACCGTCTGGAGAAGGAAACCTGCTGCTCTCATAACGGTAGATTGTGACCGGCCAGAATGTAGAGAAAGCAGAGATTGACATAAAGACTATCAAACGACAATGCTTTCATTTGGTGCCCGGGTGTATATGCTGTAATTAAGTAGCTGAATGTCAAGTATGTGCTAGAAATAGCCGAAACGTTTTTAGGTTTCGTGTCACTGTGGACTTTTGGAATGACAATGCACAATCTGTGGCCTCTCTTTGTGCCTTAAATTTTCTTCAGCAGGATTAATTCATGCTTTAAAACAAATAGTTTTCCAATAAACAATTTGATGAACACAAAATATCTAGCAAATAATAGGTAATATAGCCCATTTATGATTTCAAACAGATTTGGTCCAATAATTTTCAGTATTGAATGAAAAAAGAATTTAGGTTTTGCTCGCCATCTTGGAACGTTTTTTCCCAGTGCAATGCATGTTGGATTCTCTAAATGTGAAGCTGGCCAAAATAAGGCCTCGATTTCACTGCCTTTGCATTAGGAGTGTGCCTTATGATGCTGTCAAGCAATGCTAATTACTTTCTCTAAAAAAAAAAAGAAAGAAAAAAAAAAGATATATTCAGGATTCAAGGTTCACAGATTCTGACCAGTGGATTTATGTGATATTTTCCATTTATTTGATTTTTTTAAAATTATGTTATGGAAAGAACACTCACAAAATTGTTTCTACCTGATAGAACTGAGCATAAATTGTATTACTACTATAGAAATTTCCATCACTTTTCCCATGACTTTTTGAGGCCTAGAAATCACATTTATCCAGTGGAAACCTTGTATTATTTTTTGAGCAGAATGTAATTGTTGTGCTTGTATATACTGCTTATTTTTATGCTTCTTTCATAATTTGTTCATTTTCTGATTAGGGAAGATTAACACTCATATGCACCAAATTACACTTGGACCAATGGATAATTCGTCCTGGTAAATTAGACTACGGGTCAAAAGTATGTGACTCCATGATTGGCAGATAACTTTTTCATTATCTTCCATATGCTCCACTCATGTCTCTGTGTTGGTAATCATGCCAGTATGAAGGTTTTTGGTCTTGTCAACCTGAAACATTTGACACTAAATCCAACACAAATCACTTACATTCTTTAAGTTTAGTTACAGGTAAAAAAAAAAATCATAATTTGTCATTGATCACCCTTCTCTTTGGGGATGTTTTATTTAATTGTTTTAATGTTGATTTCACCAAAACAAATTTTTTTTTTTTTGTATTTTATGTAATTGTATTTGCATGCACTACACAAATTTTCAGTATAAGGGATTTAGGGTTTAGCTGTTGTACTTCCACCAAAGTATTAAGGTTGAATTTATAGTTGTTTTCTGTTTTTGAAGTCAGTTTGCTGCTGTGTGCAAACGACAGGGGTCTGATACACTGGAAGCTTCATCTCTGTCAGATTGGATGGGGATGGCCATGATTTCTAATATAAAAATAAAAAAATTTAAAGTGTGTTTTCTTAGGTAGTTGACATGTCGAGGCACATAATCTTAAATGATAACACAATGCATTTACTACTGTTCAAAGGTTTGGGGTCTGTAAGATTTTTTAAATGGTTTTGAAAGTAGTTTCTTATGTTCACAAAAGTTCATTTATTATAAAAATGCAACAAATATTTACAATAATTACAGTGAAATAATTACAATTTAAAATAACTTTGTATTTTAATATATTTTTTAATTGAATTTATTCCTCCAGTCTCATATGATCCTTCAGAAATCGTTCGCTGCTCAAGTAATATTTCTTATTATCAGCATTGAAAATGGTTGTGCTGCTTAATTGTTCTTTGGAAACCATGACACTTTTTTTTCAGGATTCTTCGACGAATATAACTTTGTTTGTTTGTTCAAATAACGTTTTATAGGTCTACGTTAACGGAAGACCAAGACAATATATAAGAAAACTTGAACAAAATACAATCTTTATTCTTTATGTACATTACATACAATGCAGTTCTTTAATAGGTTCTACACATTCATGAGAGCCACAGTGTAGTGCTGACATCTCAACGTACCCTCGCTCAGGGGGGCTCGACGAGATGAGGATTTCCAGGAGAGAAGAAAAGAAAAAGTCACTTCATCTCTGACACTGCAGAAATGTACACCGAAAGCAAGAAAACGTATTTGGCATTAAGTGCGACAAAAAGTCTCCGGTTGTAAGTGTCGATCCTCTCGTGTATATTCAATTTCATTGTTTTCATACTTTTTTCTTTTTCGGGAACTTTCTTCCTGGCACAAAGACAATGCTAAATCTACGAAAGGCAAAAGTAAGCCCTGGTTTTCAAATCATATACACCCAAATTGCTTTCACGCCAGGAAAGAAATAAAGAGCACTGAATCTTAGAAATCACAAATGGGCCAATCACAAACTTCCACACTCCAGTGCGCCGTGAGTGTATCTCCACAGAGCCAAATTACAGCTAATACTGAGTTCAGGGAATTGAGATATGAGATACACTTGGGAGGACACAATCAGCAGGGTGAAGCATAATGCACTGTCCTATGATTCTTTGAGCCTCTGGTTTCTGCGTGGGTGAAGCCAAAACTACAGCAAATTTAAGAGCGATCCAATTACAGGAACATTTTTTTTGCAGGGCAAACACTTCCTACTCATGCACAGGGAGACGAATAACAAAAACAACTGCTGTTAAACTAACACTACACAAATGGAGACCAAGTAATCCAGATGGACTATATGGAAGACTATCATCTAACACACTTTCATCTGTCCAGAATTGTAAACAATCCGGAAGCTCATACGGAATGAAGGGTACATATAGACGTCTCTATGACATCATAGAGATAGACATAACATAAGACATGACATTCAGGGCTCAAGTTCACCAAGAAATAATAATAATAATAAATAGTGAGGGGTCTCTTCTGTCTTCGGTGGTCCCAATAAGGGTCCTTTGAGTTGGTACCAGTAAGCTGAACAGTCTATGTAACACAGGACTATATTGAGTTCAGACGAAAGCAGCCACAACCTGAAGTAAACCGCAATCTACACTTCAAAAAATCAAATCATCCACATCTTCGGTTTGTCTAATTGCAGCAAAGTGTTCGCTAATCCATTCGCTAATGGATACAAGTGTAATGACCTGTTCTAAAGTACAAAGTGTTACCATGAAGCATCATAATATTTGCGTTCCGACACACACAGTGGAAAACAGTTCTTGTGTACATATATGTGTGCATGACACCTCAAACACGTCACTATATTCCTTTTCAGATCTGTGGATGAGAACTTAGTTATGGAATCGGGCGTTTCATCACTATTAAAGAGTCAAAGAAAGCACTAATGTCATGGCAGCATCAAATAGCAGCAGCGGGTTTAGATGGAAGCCAGTATTCAAATCCAGTATCGAGAGTGAACAGAACTGAGAGTGAGAGAACTGACTCTAGAGGGCGCTCTGATCTTTGCCTTCGGCCTCCACTGGCTCAGCGCACATGTATTAGTCCATAAAAATTTGATTTAAAATAACAAGGCAAAAAGGAACCCATGATGATCATACAGTTCATAAATCAAATCCACCCCTTTATGATGTAAACTGTTCGGATTTATAACTCACCTACATTTCAACCTGTATGAAAGAAAATTTGAAAGATAAACTCAAACAGACCTGAAAAACTAAGCTTAAGTTTGTTTAAAAAAAGACAAAATAGAAAAATCAACTCGGTGTGCAATTTGGCAGATATGCAAATTTAAACCTAAACCTTTTTAAAATAAAAAATAAAAAAGCACAACCCTGGCACTCCAGAGTAGAAAATTATATTTCTGCATTTTAAGTAAATCTCAGTGACGTTTAAGTGGCATTACTTCTGTAGGACGAAACACAGTAGGTGGGCACGGCACACCTCGGGTGGAAAATGTAGAAAAATAACTTCTGTTTTGGGTGGGAGGAGTCTGAGAGGTCTAAAGAGGGTGTGGTCTACTGTGTGGGGCGTGGCTACAGGGTGATGAGGTCGACAAGGTTACCCTTGGGCGGGGTCATATTGTCAGGGAAGAAATTGACAAGTGTGTCGAACAGCTGTGTGCGCTGGGCATACGTCTGATCCACATCTGAAAAGCCTGTGATGAAGAGAAGAAAAAAATCATTAATAAGAATCAAAGCACATCGGAGAAGCTTCTGCACTGATTTCCACAGTTGTAGGAAAACGTGATTAGAGGACAATCATGTTTATCAAACAGTGCTCTCACCTAGAGGAATGAAGTCTGAGCTGGATTTGAACAGAGCAGAGGGTAAGAGCTGGAACTACAGGGGAAAAAAACACACAAAAGCACTTTTAATTATGTATTGGACCTAATACATTTTCAGTATCTGACATGATATTTGCTTTAGTCCAACTGAAATCAAACTATTAAAATACATGTAAATGCACAAACGGACTCAATCAACAGCAAAAGTTTAAAGGTTTGTTAATTACAAGCTTAATCATTAAATGTAACAGTTTCTTTTTGGTGGGTACTGACCTCTTTTGTCTCATTGGGGTCGGTGTGGTCCACGGTAAGGGACAGATCATTCTGTAGGTATTTAAGTGCATTCAAGGGCTCGGTCTGAGCCTTCTCCTCAAACCTGCAAACACACACAAGGCAGCAAGCAGAAGGTAAACATTTGCCTTATTCTACATTCTTAAATGTAAAAACAGATATCCTCAAATTTGGCTCGCGAGATCCACTTTCCTGCAGAGATTAGCTCCAACCCTGATCAAACTCACCCACCTGTGATTTTCTAATGATCCTGAAGACACGGATTAGCATGTTCAGGTGCGTTTGATCAGGGTTGGAGATAAACTCTGCAGGAAAGTGGATCTCGCGAGCCAGATTTGAGAATCCCCGGTAAAAAATGAGGACTATTTTTGTTTTATTTCTAGGTACACTACTATTCCATTAAGTAACCAAATATGACCACCAGATGGCACTAAAAGTGCAGAAATCGCATGCACCAATGGAAAACTACTACTGTCATTTAATCACTAACTGCAGTGCTGCATGACACTGCAATTACATAATAAAGCTGGGTCCTAAAGGTTTACATTCAGATCACTGCAGGATCAGAGCAACATCATGTTCTTCATATTAACATTCAACACAAAGTATTTAACATGGAATAGATATCTAAACACTTTCCTAGCGACGTTTGGAAACTAAGAGCATCTGACAGTTTTCTTTGGCTTCAGACAGAGAGAGACCAGACGACCTAATTCAGTAAACATTCTTCTTAAGCACAATTTTCTAATCAAGAACTGTGAGGTCAGAATAATGAGTCACTGAGCAGCAGATTGTAACAGGTGAAGCACTTTTGTACTCGTATGAAAGTATATTTGTACCTGTATTTGCGAATGAGGTATTTGCAGTGTCGAAGCAGATATTCTTTGGAAGGCCGGCACAGCTTTAGGGACCAGAAATCATCCAATCTCATTTTGGGTGAGCTGGACTTCCCTGGGTTTCCACCGAAAAGGTAATGCACCTGTGTACCATATCATCATGTCAATCCCCTGCTAATTGCTTTGATTAATCAGTACAGCAATTAAGGAAATGAGTGTTTTATCAGCTCAAGCTGTCAAAGTGCCTGAGGTAAATATAGTTTAAATTTAGAGGTCTCTACAAGTGTTCAAAGGTTACAACCTTATAATTTGAAAGCTGCTGCATCTGGTAATTTGCAATCATTTTGGGCTACAGAATCATTACCAGTCTTAAAAAAATAATTATTTTATTGCTAGTTAATAAGACTTCAATGGCCTAATTTTATATTAACACTATTATTATTAGTAGTAATACTATTAATACTAAAGTACAATATAATATAATAGTATATACACATTGTAATAATTTGATTGAATTTTTAATATTACATTTTATTATTAAATATTACATTTTTACATTATATATATATTTTTTTTAAAGTATAAACATTTTATTGAAAAAACCTGAAGTTAAAATGAATAATATAATATCATATAATATAATACAAATTATATATAACAGTTAAAAGGATATTTAACAAAACAAAACGATAAAAAAAAATTAGACAAGTATTAAGAAATAAATAGGGTCCAATTTTTATTTCATGTTGACTTCCTTGATGTAAGTGTGGGTTGACTCCTACAAACTTTGGGTTATCAGGTCAGATTTCTAATCAGCCAATCCTAAAGCACACCACCACACTGTTCATAAACATTCAATTCATATTGACAATGGGTGTGGAAGTGAAATGATCTACATTACCTTGTGCAACTCGTCATAGACAAGCTGATGAGCAAAACGAGGACAAGGTTCCTCTTCCTGTAGGGCCTTAGTGGGGTTTTCTTTCACCGCCTGGTCATTCTTATAAACACATGACCTGCAGACAAACACAGACTTAGTCTTTCATACTAAACTGTGCATACTGTCCTAGAAAAGTGTACACACACGCACCCACCCAAATCAAGCCAAATAAACAAAATGACAGAAACCAGTACACCAGATCCAAAGGAAACACTGACAGACTGATTTTTCAGAAGCTATAAGCCAACTGCTTCAATTAGCGTACAGAACAAAGGGTTTTCTCCCCCAGTTTAAGTGCAAAGCACATTTAATACACACACACACACACACACATGCTGACACGAGCGGCCAGACCCACATGCAAGCAGAGAACATTCTGTTCCTGTTTGATGGTCACCAACTCCCTTTCTGAAGGTCAATACAACTTTCGCTCTGGCTTTATTCAATATATGTGAATGCGTGTGCAAGCTGAGAACAATTTATATAAGGGGGTTTTGTATGATGCATTTACGCTCATCGTTGGCTCTGCAATGTATGTTCAATGCACTGAAAAGAGAACATGCAGTCCAGGAAGGAAAGAGCATGTTTTTTCATCATAACTGAAGATTTCCTTCTTTTCCAGCAGTGTATGGCAAGTGCCTGAAGGCACTCTGTGGATTACCGATGCAGGCAGTCCTCTGGGCCACAGCATATAAACACAGGTCAAGTGTACTCATTAGCATTCAATGTGCAGTGCTGTACAGATGAACAGTGTGTCCAAGAACTCACGCACCAGTTGTTGCGTGCAATGTCATAGATCCAGAAGGAGTTGCGTACATTCTCCTCGCGTTTGTCTTTGTCTTTGCTGAGTCCTGATAGAACGTGGATCTCATTGAGCTCTGGGTCGATGGTGGCACGCTGAGTGAATCCTGTCATTGGTACTGCAACACAAACACAGACTTAAGCTTAGATCATTAAGAGAAGGCATAAACTGTTTAAAGCATTATGATGTAGCAGCTTGGTGTAATCATTGGAAATAACATGCAAATCACCTCTATTTTTTCTATGGTTTCAGCCAGACTCGGCAAATGCTGTACCAAAGGTAAAAAAATTTTTTTTGCCCCACCCGGAAATGGTGAGTGAATTACCAAAATTTGCATTATTTTTTTATATTTAAATCGGCCATGAAGTTTTGCATTATTTCTTTAGTACATTAATATGACCATAGATATATAATATTAAATATTTTTATACATTAATGTTTAATAATGTTCTAAAATGTTTGATTAATACTATATTAATATAACAAAATATTTTAAATAATAGATATAAATATTGCATTAGCGAGTGAATTTACAGTGAATTTTATTTTATACTATTATTAATTTTTGTATTTATTGTTGATTTTCGAATTATTCTTTTATAACCTTCATATAACTGAACTGCTATTAAATAAAAATACAAAAAATATATATGTAATATTTATAAATAAATTTTTATATTTATAAATATTTATTTTTATATAAATATAATTTTAAGATTATTTAAGCAATGCTGTAGATTAATGTTTACAATATTTAATATTATATTAATACAAAACTAAGGAAATAATAATAATAATAATTATTAAATTATATTTAATAATTATTCAATCATAAATCACTCCATGGTATCTATTCTCTTCAATTTTCCTAAAGTTTCGACCCAAATAAATGTCATTCTCCTCATTAATTTTTTTTTTTTAGAATTTGTTTATTTAGCAAGTAGTTGTGAAATAAACAGGATAAAGTCCCAGGACGGCTTTAGGTCATTTGAATCTGGCCTGTAATTCCATTTTATTTACACACATTTTGGATTGTTTTTCGAGCATAAAAACATCACCCTGGTTTGGAACTACATGATAAATGATTTTTGGGGGGTAAGCTATTCCTTTAAGGTCTGGTTGTGAACATACTGTTTGGGCTCACTGTTTCCTTCCTGGTAAATTGTGTTTTGTTCAGTCTTATTTTTGTCTCTCTCCGCTGCCTTCTAGCTCTTGTTCTCTTTCTGTCACCCCCTGTCCTCGTCGCACACACATCTCTCTCTAACGCGATAACAGAGAGAACACAGAGGTCTTTTTATACTCTCTCATTGCGTCAAGTCGCCCATTGAGATTTTACACAATCTGTTTATGGGAACAGGAAGTGTGTCTGCACAGTCTCTCTCAGGCTTCACAGAGCTCTTAGACTCATTCACCTTCAGTGCCTCTCCACTCTGTGAACTGGCTGTTCGATTTGTATGTTCCTTCAAGCTTGACACAATATCATGCTATCGTTACTGATTATAGAGAAAGCGAAGAAAAATTTGGGGGACATTATGTGGGTGTGCAGACATTATGACCTGTCTGCTCACCAAATTCTTCTCCAAGCTGATCACAGACATTTTACAAAGTCTGCTTTGTTTTAAGTCTTGATTGTGCATGCGAGTTTCATTTGTATGCATGTGTGGCTAACATGAGTAATCAAACGAGTGTGTGTTGGGTGAGCAAATCACCACAAGTCACGCTCAGTTCTTCAGAAGCCAATCGAAGTTCTGAGAACTTCAAATTGATAGTGTTTAATGCCGATTTGTGCCGAGAGAGGGCAGACGCTGCGAAGACGCAGGTGTTTCAGGGTTATTTTAGTATTATTGATATACAGGTGCATCTCAATAAATTAGAATGTCGTGGAAAAGTTCATTTATTTCAGTAATTCAACTCAAATTGTGAAACTCGTGTATTAAATAAATTCAATGCACACAGACTTAAGTAGTTTAAGCCTTTGGTTCTTTTAATTGTATGATTTTGGCTCACATTTAACAAAGAACCAAAGACTTAAACTACTTCAGTCTGTGTTCATTGAATTTATTTAATACACAAGTTTTACAATTTGAGTTGAATTACTGAAATAATTGAACTTTTCCACGACATTCTAATTTATTGAGATGCCCCTGTACTATTATAGCATTTAAAAGTATTTTGAATGAACTTTTATTTTTATACTTTTAATAGTGCTCTTTTTACATTTTTGTTCATGTTTTATCATGTCCATTTTCTTGTCCATGTATTTATTTATTTATTATTTTTATTTCAGTTTTTAATACATTTATAATAATACCTCCAACATAACTTATTTTAGTTAGCTGCTAACATTTCTAATCTTAATTTAGGTTTTTCATCTAATATTAATATTTTATTTTATTTCAGATTTATTCCGAAAATTATTTTAATAGTTTTAGTTTCAGTTAATAATAACAACACTACTGTTTCTTAAAAAAAAAAAAAAAAACCCTCATGTTCAATAAGGGAAGAATCTGTGCCCTATGCAGGGACCAGAATATCATTGAGACTTGGGTTAGGAAGTAAGCACCTAGCATTACCCTTGAACACCCTTAACATAGTGCCTGTGAGACTAGCATTTTCTCAAGAAAAAAAAAAATACAGTTTTACATAACCAGAGTCATCTAAGGCTGCAAATCTAACAGAGAAGACTTTAAATATTAAAATGTATATTTCATGCCGAGTCTTCAGAGGAGAGTATCTTGATGAATCAGAATGCGTGTACTTTGTACAATAGCATATTGTAACCTCAAAAACCTTGTATCCCTGCTCAGGAATGTGCTGTAATATTTACCCCTCATCAGGACTATTCTCACGAGAAACGTTCATCACTATCATCCAGACCAGCAGATCTGTGTATATCAGTATCACGGAGACAGATGATGTCAAGTTGATTTAGCTGTTGAACAGTAAGACTGCAACAGATCACATATTCGCTTCAGCTGCACGTAACTGGCCGCAGCAGCAGTGACATAATCCCCACCTGATTCAACTCTATTTCTGAACGTGATGTCACCTTCATGCTTAAGATTCCTCTGCTCTCCTTTTAAGGAGTGTCTTCTCAGGGCACGGCTGTATAAGAGCCATTAGCTGGGTTTCCATCCAAAGTTTGCGAATTTAATTTAAGCGCAAAATTGGAATATTGCATAAAACATTTGTGAATAAGCACCGTTTCCATCCAATGAGCTAAAGAGAACAAAATCGTCCCTTCCTGATAAACTGGAACTAAATATCACTAAGAAAAGTAGGAGAAGCCACTGAATATAAAATGTTCTTATATAATACATTGTTTGTGCCTCAAAGCGAGCAGACGAAACAATAAATGCGGTCATTGCCTTCGGAAGCGGATGCCTGCTGTTTGGGAACGCAGTCGTGTCGTGGGAAGACAGTTCGGATGCAGTTATACAGAAACACTTTGATGACAGACTTTGCACGGGCATTTAAGAATGACCATTACATTTCAGATGCTGTGCAAGAAGATCGGTTTGCTGGTTAGTCAGGTTTTGCCATCCCATAGCACAAAGTCACATGACTTTTTTTGATGCATTCGCAAAATGCATTTCAATCTCACATTATTCGCATTAACCCTTTTTCGCAAAAGTCAAAAACCACTTCAATGGGTTTTTCTTCGAAATATGGCATTTCCATTATTCGTTTCAAATGCGATACTTCAAAATGCGCATAAAAGCAGGGTGATGGAAACAGCTATTGTTACAGTATGACAAAAAAATAAATCTTGAAATGACATCAAAAAAGACACACAAAAAATCATGCTAATGACATCATACCCATGCCTGAGTCCTTCTTGGTGCCATCTGAGATGATCTCCACGTGGTCACCATCAACATCGTAACTGAAGAAATCATTCAAGTACGTTTTGGACCTCTGACCTCCAAAAACGTACAGGCAGCGATTTCTCTGTGGGAGAGAAAAGAAAAAGTCAAATCAAATTTGTTGTCAAAACCACCCATAAATTCCACTTAACACCAATAAATTTATACCAATAAACTCAAAAACTCACCAATCATCTGTCTTAAAACCATTTTTGTAATCAACTTTCTTATTTTTATTGGGAAATGACATTCAGGTATATATATA